TTGAAATGGGGGAGTACCCACTCTGTTCAGTCCAATCTTTCGTGATTGCACGATGATGAATCATTAGTAGTGCTTTGGCGACTGCTACTCTGTTTCCAGTTTCAACGATCGTTTAGATGAGGGTACTAAGATTATACTACCAGTCTGCACATATAGACAGGACCTGATTAATGATATATTGCACCGACCGCTTGTGTATTAATTTATCCAAAATGAGAGACTCTAACAAGCTTTCAACAAATAGTTCTTCCATGCTACACTTTTGGGGAACAGTCTGTGTGACCGGCATTTCTAATCAACCTGAAAAACAGTGATTAGTGTGACAGCTCTTTGCTCTAAAAAGTGTACATTGAGTTTGTATGGAACATGAAATGATCATGTCTGAAAATGTTCGGGATTCTTGCAGAAGTTATCGATCGATAGGTTCAACTATTCATTGGAGATTTTCAATAGCTGCCTAAGTTGGTAGGCACTGGGGTCACTGCAAATGCACCAGAACTGATGTTTGGGACATAATACAATAACGTGTGCCATATAGTTGATCGTTGTACAAAACTTACGCTCATTCCTGAATCCCAAATTAGACTACTCGCGTTTTACTATTTGACTCCAGCGTGCTTTTGGCAAAAGAGATTCTACCAATCATCCTCGTTACTACCTTCGTGGTGAGCTTCCCCTACTACTTGTCCAGCTCACTTAGGATGATCACGCTAGCTTTAATGTGACCACATTTTATTCAGCCTTCATTATGCTTGGAGATTCTGTTTGCATGGAAGTATCTTATGTATAATGAAGTAACATTTCAAGAAAACATAAGGTTGACGGAAACTCAGGGACTGCGCCTACCTGGTGAGCCCAAAGAAGGGCAAAACCGGTCGTGGGCTGTCGACGAATTTTCAGCAACCTTATGAGTAGTGCATTACAAAGATAACATTTCATCTGTTTTTACGACGCGGTGAACTACTTTTGTTTTGGAGGCGAGCTAAACTTACGATTTTCTTTTCAACTGCAATAAATCAATATAGAATGCCATTGCGGGTAAGTTCGTTCAATATGCGTAACCACAGTTGCTCGAAAGGACAAAGTTGATCTCTGGACTTTCTCGACAGTTCAAATGGCCTTGTTGTCCCTCGCTTTGTATTATTTTCGCCTGACTTATATTGTGAAACAGCAAAAACTGAAAACGTATATTTACTCACCTAGGCGAAGTGTGTCTTCCAGCTGTCGCGTTTGTCTGAAATAGGTCACAGGAAAGTGTTCCCAACAATCCATTGAATACAATGAGAGCGATGAGATGACTCAAAACAAATACCTAACTTTTAAATGATGCCTCCTGCCGGCCATCTGGAAAATGCCTAAAGAAGCAATTTTAGGTTCCACCAGACTGCAGCAAGCAACACGTTCTCCTGATTCCTGTTCACGGAATACTCGCTTGACATCGAGAAGGCCGAAAAGTCGTTAGGATGTCAAATCATTTTAATCAACCCATATAAGTGGTATTTATCCAAAATATAATTCTCTGAAAATCGTTTTAGGTGGCTTTTCGGCTGAGCATTACTGTCTGGTCAACTTTAGGTGGCTTTTCGGCTGAGCATTACTGGTCAATAGTTATTTGGCTGAGCCCACCGTTTGTTCGAATATGAGCGTATGATTATCTACAAACTGGTGTTTGAGCAGACCAACTCAAAGACCCTCGAATGGAGCAGGATCTCCAGTGGAGGTTGAACTTTCTTTCATGAATCCTATAAATGTTATACTATCTGCCGAATTATACAATTTAAAAAAACGTCTTTTAAGCTAAAGGCAAAAATTTTGTCGTCACAACACAGAGATTCTCATAGTGATTCCCCAGACACCTACACCTTGGGAGAAGCATAAAGGCTTCTGGTCACAGCAGCCCCTAGTACTGCCTTGTCCAGACACAAAAAACGCCCAAGACTTATGTAAACCTGTACAAGTAGTACGTACACATCATTAGGTTATCCTTCTGATCTTGTATTAGTCAAAGTCAAAACAAGGAATCGGTCCAAGAAAGAAGGTACCAAACGAAGCCACTTGTTTTATGAAGCGAAACGTCTCTGATAAAATGATTAAATCTCCCCTGCTTACCATTGGTCAATAAATAGCTCATGAGAGGAAGACTTTAACAAGGTGAGTGAAACTCGCTTCTTAGAAGGAATCATGACCACGTGATGTGGTTTCCACGACTGATTGGATGGTTGGAGCTGCGTCTCGCCCAATCACACTGCTGATCAGCCGCTCAAGCCAACCAGCCAGGGATTCAACCACTGGCAGGAAGATCAAAGATTCTTGCTCTCCCTTTTTGTTAGGTGCGTACTGTTGATGATTCTTAACAAGGATGGAACAGTACTTCTCGGTTTTTCAGCATAGATTGGTCCCACTGGCAGGTAGAAATGATACTCTCATTATCGTCAGTAAAACAGTGTGCGTTGTTTTGCTTAGGAGTGCGAATAGAAACAGCAAATCAATTGTATTGATTGAATTGGATTGATTCTTATGTGTTGGATACTCCTTGTTGAGAAATATGCAAATAATTTTCAAAGCTGAGAGATGAAGCATACCACACTGACAAATTACACGGGAGACTCAGACGGAACTATTCTCAATCATAGTGTTATTTGCAGATCAGGGTGCGTATACAGTGGGGTTTAAGTGGAACACACGGTTCATGGAAATTCATTTGCCTTCCGAAAAGTACGCACCGCATGCATGTCGCGCATTGTCCAACAACTGGCCGATTAGTTCTGTGTGATCTGCGGACCAAATTTGTGCAGCTGCCCATGAAAAATTGGGAGAAAAACATGAACTTTTTTCCTTTTGATTGCCGACAAGTTACTGGTGCTCGTGGGTCTTAAGCATCTCTTGCAGTACAAATCTTTGGCCTATGACCTAATTGGAGTTTAAGAATCCTTTTAAATACGCCTCGAAACTGCATGCACGTGGTAGCTACCTGAGACTACAAAAACTGCGCGCATTCAAATGCGCTTCAAATGCTTCAAGACCTTTTACCTCAGCAGCTAGGCATCTAAAGGAATCAGTCAATCCTCTAAAACACCCGTTCAGTAAATTGTTAATCTACAGTCTTATGGTTTCTGACTCATGCCGAATTCTCCCTCTGCACGGATTTCCCTGAGTGCACGCATTTCTCAAATCTGAAAGGACGGTTCCTGGACTTGAGAATGAAACGCAGGATCAGTTGATATATTGCTTGTTTATTTCAAGACGACATCGTGAATCAGTTCGAAACAGAATGCAGAAAACTGAGAAGTGATATGAATCACCGAGATGAATATCTTCACGCTAGACATCACCAAAGCATTTCGAATTTTTGTTGTGATATATGGTCTCGTCGTATTTCTGGTTGCCACTGTGTGGGAGGCCACAGTACACCATTTTAAAATATAACCAGTGAAAATATAAGACGAACTCCCGAATAAGCAAAACGAGGGTGAATCTGAAAGTGGATTGCAATTTGGCCATCAGACCGGGCTTTGCAAAAAATTGATCTACATTCCAGTTTTATCGCCTACATTGATTTAAGCGACAATGATAGCATATAATGATGTTTTTCTTTACCCAACTCAAGGGCTTGATTCTACTGAGTACTGTTCAATTTTCAGCGCAATTTTGAATCCACAAATCCCATATCTGAATAAAAATCAGATGGGATTGCCAGTTTATTTCAACGTCGGGTTGTATTTCAACCTCAGTCAGGTTTTTATCATATCCGTCATCAGACTAATGATCATCATCACTCATCTTACTGCGCGAATTTGCACTTTGCTAATTTTCGATAATCCCCAGTAAACAAGACGTGGTCTCTGTTGATATTTTCAAAGATTTAGATGTCACCTACATTAAACTTTCCACAGGCGTAAGGTAGATCTCCTCAGGACCCTGTGCGCTGACCGGTTGAGTTCTAGGGTTATGGAATGCGGCGATCACTATCAACAATGTCTGTGAGTGGTGGGAACGACTGATTTGGAGAAACGGCCACCCTGGGAGAGACACCATGTATCATATGTCACTCATCAACAGGTCATCTAAAATCCCTTATGCGGGGAACTTGCCAAATCAACTTGACGTTTGATCATTGAATTTTTGTTGAGAGATCCAAACTAACATTTCAGAAGCAGCTTTAGATTGCTCCTCAAATGCTTGTACTTCAGTAGGGTTTGACACTTGCTATCACCTTGCGCCTGAACCATAAGATTCACTCGTCAGCTGGCAAGGTTACAAAAGAACACCTGAACAATTTAAGCTTTCTTAAATCTGTGCATCTACCTTCATACTCTGACAGCCATGTTCATCAGGGCGTTGGCGGCCAGAACAAAGCCATCCTAGGTATAAAGCATTAGCGAATGTAAGTTAGGCGTGGTCGATGATATCGCATTCCAATGTCGCATACTCACGCTGCACGTATAATCCGATCCTCGTTCCACTTCCGCGTTAACCAGAGCGGACTTGTGCTATGTACATCTGTGCTCTGCTAGGTGTGTGGTACATGAGAGGATCTGTGACACAACGAGGCTGTTTAAGCAGCCACATCATCCGACTTGGCTAAGCAGCCTGTCAGTGTTTATCATACATCATGCCAAGAAGTACTCTGTTTGGCACCAAAGACACAAGTAAACTACTCGGTTTTGAGGAAATCAGTAGTAATGTGACTTGTACGATATTACAAAAAATGCGTTGTCACATATCCTTATTCTCTTACAGAACACAATTACCAGACAGAGAAATATTTTTCCGGTCACACAATGGTTCTGGCTGGGCAATCAGCTGTCTGTTCAACAAAACAAAGAACACCTCAAAGTAGGTTTGAAATGGATTTGTGTGTCCTGTGAAAATACTCGGTTCAGGTGTTTCCCAAAATCATGCGTGAAAACGCACGCGTTTTTCCTAGTTGGCCTACCGCTGCATCATTAATCTCGAAGTGGCCGGCTCACCCGTGTAAAGGTGGTTGTCGAATACCCCGGGTTGTTGTAAAGTGGATTTCCGATCTGTTCACCAAGTTGAGTAATTCTTTTCAAACATCCCATTTGAAATGACAACCAGCGTGGTTTGTGTTGGAACCCCTCAAGCAAAATCGATAAGGTCACAGAGATAGATGCTGCCTACCGAATCACTAGAGAGGTTTGCAATTAATACTATATTGGATAGACTGTTGAAAAATGATAGTCCAAGAACCGCAGACGTTCATCTAAACATGTGGCAATGCAACGAACCAGATAAATCAGCATACATAAGTACACAACAACCAAGCAGCACGTTCAGCGAAGGACTGGCAGGTCTAGAAATGGGACATTGAACCAACTGACCGGAAAACGTGGCCCGGCGATAGCGACAAGCAAACCAAAATCACCACAGGCGATAGAAGACGTGTGACCTTGAGGTGACCTAGAGCTCAAGCTCGATCAATAAACCAATAGCCAATCACCACCAACTGCTAGCCAACGTCATCCTCCATATAAACCCTCGCACTCGTAACACGCACATGCACATATTTCCCTGACTGACAATGGAAAAATTTCAAATAAATTACCCAGCCCAGTGTATTCTAGCCGGCGAAATTTTGTAGGACGAGTCATCTCTTGTTTAGTTCTCTCGGAAATTTATATTCATCGGCCGAAACTCGTGAGTCCACCAGGAGATGCTTCTAATAGTTCGAGAGAGAATCTTACGGCAATTTTACAAACGCACCCATTTGCTTATAGATTTGGTTTTCTTGAGAAATACACCTAGATCTTAGATGATTTTCTTCATGTTACCGTATAAGAGATTTGAAAGCTGCGGAACAGCAGGCCTGCCATGAATGTCAACTTGGTTTTATTTTACAGCAATCGATAGTCGGTCTAAAAACAATTTGGTTGCAAGTTACTCTATGACTGGCTTACATTTAAAAAGCCCAGCAGAACCAGGGAATTAAATTATCCGTAGTCACACCACTCTCGTTTGGACGGTCGTGCTACCGTTCTGGCGTAATTATCCCGGGGAGTCCACACCAAAGAAGGGAGCATTAGACTCGAGCTTCGCTCTTATTAGAGCGAATCAGAAGTACTTATTCAACGGCCTTGCCGGGATTTGAACACCGGACATCTGACATGCGACGCGAGCGTGTGACCACTACTCGACCAACGCACGTTGGACGCATCTGAATTATCACGTCTGAACAGGCGAAACGTGTTCACACTTGAGTGATGTGGTCGGTGTGCCCGACTTATCGAACGACGACCCAGTAACTGTCCTGGTTGTGGCGATCGATTGACCCACCAGTCAGGACTTCCCAGTAAGGTAGCGTGACACCCTTGAAACCCACTGGGCAACGTTCCATCCGTCGAGGACATATATATAGGGCTTTCAGCGGCAAGCAGACTAATTCGATAATCTGTTGTGAAAATAGATTGAGCTGTGTGCTCATGGAAACCAATTTGAAAAGTTCGCCAATTTCAGTAGGCGTTTCTCTACTAAATACACCTGCAAACAAGGTTTGGTTGTCACCGAAACAATACCAACTGCTCAGTTGGGGGTTCGGATTTTGCTGAAAAGTTCGTTCATACTGATGCCACCGTCCCACCTAACCTATCATTCAGGAGCTTCGACAAGTCCTCTTTTTCCATGCATGGGGATCATAGCAGAAATAGACGCCCACGTTAAACCATCTTCAAAGCTGCATCACCATAACCTTTATAGCTTTGGCAACCCCGCACTGACCGTCTATAAACTCCGCTGAATATGACGAACATTTTCGCCAACTTCAAAGCAAAACGTGAGCCTTTTCTACCCCAGTGGAAATATTCCTCAAGCAGGTATATGTGACATCGCAGTCTTAACCTTAGCCCTCTGGTGTGCCCAGCGTTATGTTCGACAAAACAGAACTATATATTATTCAACGCGGAACTTCAAATGCCATGACAGGAACTGAGAGAGAAGGATCAAATGATCGTACTGAAGAAAAAATACAGGCTGCTTTAGTTTCATGGCTTCGTTTCTAACTATCAAAACTATCTGTCTATCTATCCATCTATTGTTTATCTATCTATCTATCTATCTATCTATGTATCCATCTGTCTGTCTATCCAATTATTAATCTATCACTTGCCAATCATCCACGCAGAATGCCATCCTGAGGAAATTAATCTCTAGACCGAAGGACAACCTAGAGGAACACTGTGATATAGTAAATAAACCGCAACAATTGCAACGAGTTCTACGATGGACAAACTGGGAGGAAATTATACAGAAGACGTGACCCTTTGTCCTTGATATCCACACAATAAAACCAAGAAGGCCACAAATTCACTCTAGAAAACGCAAAAAGTTTGACACGAGACATGGAAGAGAATTTCTGGAAGCATGGTACTCCACGGCAGATTCGATCAACCGGTGCATCGAGCTGGATCCAGTTTACGCACCTCCAGGCGAAAAGACCAACATCTCAACTGGAACACTGAAAGAGAACCAAATATTGGATTCACGAACAAAGTAACGGGGAACTCTTCGGAGTCAAATCAATAAAGGCCACAAGCCGGGACTCGAAAGGACAAAGGTCTCTCCAGCGTCGACCAGATTACAACTGCAGGGGACGCCGAGCTCAGAGGTCATGTGGGTATCGGCGAATGAGGACACATGATTATAGATCAACCAATGGAACCGGCCGACCGAACAACTAATCACGATCAAAGGTCAGCCCCGGCTAGCAGCACGTCTCTTGTGAAAACCAAATTGATTTGCAACAGTCGAATTAGGGTTCAAATAGAACATAAGGTCGACGGAAACTCGGGGACTGCGCCTACCTACTGAGCCCGAAAATGGGCTAAACCGGTCGTGGGTTGTCGGCAACCTTGTGAGTAGTTTCCTTTATGAGACCTTTTTCTCTTTTCCTCTTATATTCCCCTGTACCGCTTCTAAATCCATTCAAAATAAACGATAGTTTTAGTAGGTGGACGAACACTACTATCTGTCACGTTCAGTAAGGCAAGCAAATAAAGGCTGAGGATGAGGCCCATCACACGCTAATGTCTGCAAATATCAGAACCAAACTCTAAACCTTGAATACTCCATCTCACGCAAAAGATGCCGGATAGCTGTCGTAGTCATGTTAGAAATCAGGTGGCTCACAGGTCGATATGTCTTCAGGGTTCATGTCAGATTTCAGTGGAAATTTCCTTCGTTTCTTACGTGTTTATACTCGCCAGCAACTCGACGATTCAAGGGAAAGTGATTCTTGTGTATTGTGACATTCTACTATCTCGTCTGCCGATATGAAAACGAAAGTGGCCAGTTTTTCCACTGGACACTAAAATTCATACTGTGGACTAGCAAACTCAGCTGCACTGGTCATTGCCGTCTTTCTGGATGGGGACCCCGAGACGGACTATATCAATGGCTAGAGACATTGTCAGACATGTCCCAGTCGCACCCTCAATGGTGCTCATGCGTCCATGATATCTCCTTCAATGCATAGCCCCCTTCGAAATCCCCCCACTTAACAGTTCACCTACAGTGCTGTATTTACGCACTAATTTATCAGCTCCCGCCTCCGGTGCGCAGCTACCTCCTCCATCTCCCCGAATCATCGGTGAACGAAACTGTGGCAGCTACAACTACTGTACGACAAGTATGCGGTTATTACAGCTGACAATTTCGATGATGAAGATGACTTCCAGAAATATTTTCGTGTTAACATCCACACGCGAAAAATACCACTTATCATGGGGAATTAATAAACAAACCGTGAACGAGTCTCAAGTAATTTATTATCTCCACACAGTTTGGAATAGGATATGAACAAGACCCAAGTGTTAAGTGAAATCTTGAATTTCGCGTTGTAAACGAGGACATGTAGCTTCGATTTGACATTTGCGCTCGTAATCAGATAAACTGCAAGTTTTCCGGGATAATCTTGGGCGTATTTAACGTGTCTACAGGTGTAAAGAGGAAAACCCTTCGCCGTGTAGTTGTATATTAGCAAACAGAAACTAAAGTGTTACAAACTATTGGATCAGAAAGTAAACATCCCACCTTGTTTTTAAAAACCGACCGTCTTCACGTGTCTTCCTGAACTTTCGTGGATTCTCACTGACTATCACACAATTGGAAACAAGTTCAGCCGATCAGTTTCAGAGGTTCCGTAATAAACCTCAGCCTCTATTGGACACGAGGCGGAGTTCCAAGAAACCAAACAATACTCGCATACCCCATAAGTAGTATCCACATTTGGACACCTTTCTCGTTCAAAGGTCGCTTGCGTGTCTGCACTTTCCATTTACCTCCGTTGGGTCTGCCCCAATAGATGGTCTGTTCGGTAGTACTTTGGGTATATTACGCCATTTTCGAAGCTGAGTCCCATTTATTCTTTTCGATTCCGACCGTCTTGAATTCTAAAGACACTCCCCCGGCTGTCGGTAACGACAAACGGACCTTGCCATCGACTGCCTAGCTTCCGCGACCATAGTCCACTCTTTTCAGGATTCTGATGATCCTTCCACTTGAGCTTCGCGCCCATGGGGAGTGGTCGTGCGTTTCTACTTGCCCTTCCTGTCTAATCTCTTCCTGAACGGCGGTCATGTTTCTCGAGCTTTCCTGCTTTCTTCTCGGGTGACAAAAGTGTTGCCGGACGCAACCCAATTTCCTGATCAGCTGAAAGGCGCGGATGTCGACCGTAGATAATCATGAATAGGTAGTTCCTTGTGATTGGCTGTATCAAAGCATGATGGGATAGAAACACCATTGGCAAGTTCACTTCTTAGTCACCCCCTTTGGTCGGCATTTATTCCTCAATCGTTCGGTTATTGCTTTTGGTTAGGTCATTTGTTTGCGGGTGGTAAGGTACAAGAGGTGGTTGGATAAGTCAAGGGTTGAAAGTTCATGAGGGATTACAAATGCATATCGAGACTGTGAGGTAGACGCAGTAAACAACAGCCGACAAGGGAAGAGTTTGACCGGGGGAAAGGAAGTACACCGCCCCACCAAAGCCAGCTTTACTTTCCCAAACTACGCTCGGCACTGGACACTAGCGACTGAGAGACAAAATGGTATGTTTGACCCTAGCCACAGTCACCTCCCACAGTCTTTCATGTCCCCTACGGTGACCGAGCTCCTACGTCTCACCCACTCCCTCCAGAATACATATACTCCGTATATCTCTGGTTACTGGACCATCGAGAGTCTTGAGCACGACCGTCCTGACACACGCATCTGAGCCAGGTATAGTGGCTGTTACAATTCCTTTCGACCAGGTACCGCGCGCGTGTGTTGCTCTCCAAGTATCAATACTAGATCACCCAGTCTTATGTTTCTTCTGAGAGTCGTCCATTTATGCCGCGATTGGAGCAGTGGAAGGTATTCTCCCAGCCAGCGGCGCCAAAATGTGTCGGCCATCAATTGACTCTCTCCACTGCCGAGAATATCGGCGCCGTAGTCCTTGGTCTTCGTCAATAGGGACGAATGATACTTGTGGTAGTAATAGATGGAACGAGTTCAATACATCAATGTTATCAGGGTCATCTAGCACAGGGACCAATGAGCGATTGCTCAGTGTTCGTTCTACTTCCGTTAGATATGTTAGCTGCGATTCTTCTGTTGACACCTGCTCGCTGGAAACTGCGCTTAGAACAAGTCGAATCGATCGTATCATCCTCTCCCAGATGTCACCTGTGTGGCTAGCATAAGGGGGATTAAAGTAGCAATCAACTTGTCGTCGTGACATATCGTCCTTCAGTTTGTTGCAATCCAACCTCTTCCAGAGTTTTCAATCAATTGGAAAAAGTTTGGAACCGACTAAGAAGTCATCATTTCAGAAGAGCTTGGTAAACAATCGGTAGTTTTTATTTGGGCAACGTTTCGCTTTTGGCACAAAAGCTTCATCAGGCCAAGTGAACAGGTCACAAAATTGGCCAGGTTATAAGACAGACGGGGAACCAATCAGTAAGTTCTCTTCAGACTAAATCAGTGTTGAGGTTTTGAGGCGAGGACTACGGTCCACGTCACACAGACTGATCGCCGAGGCGGTAGAAATCGCCAAGCATCCCAGCGTCAACAGAATGGAAGGCGTAGAACTGGCTAGCGTGTGGAGAACGGTCTTGGGTCACTCGAGCTGACACGTGTTGGTGTGCGGTCATCAGTAGGAAGAGTAGTCATCACTTGGATTCCACTTGACCTCAAACCCCCTCAAACTAAATTGTCGGAACACTCACAACCCCACAAAGACTAAGGAAAATCTAACAGCGGCACCCGAGGCGAATCATCAGGTGAAGCACTCTGAAGTGGAAGATTAAGGAACGGAAAGCGATCGGAACTAATTTGGAACCCTCCAACACATCGATTAAAGATTTCTTAACACTGATTTAGTCTGAAGAGAACTTACTGATTGGTTCCCCGTCTGTCTTATAACCTGGCCAATTTTGTGACCTGTTCACTTGGCCTGATGAAGCTTTTGTGCCAAAAGCGAAACGTTGCCCAAATAAAAACTACCGATTGTTTACCAAGCTCTTCTGAAATGATCTCTTCCAGGGTTGCTTCAACTCCGTTTTCGATTGATGAATCTTGAAAACGCCATGAGAAATGAATCGATGGATAGCGAATAAGTCACCTCTATATGTATCGCACGGGTCTGTAAACATGTAAAGATACAGCCATACCGCTTCCTCGTAGTACGTCCTTCGCAAATTTGAAACGGTCCGATGTAGTCGACACCTGTCGCAGCAGAGGGGTATTCTGGCCTTACTCGGGCAGCTGGGAGATCCGCCATTAATTGTTCGGCTGGGACAGCTGACCTTACTTTGCAACCCATGCACCCCCTGATGAGTCGCTCGACAGCTGTGGTATCACCTGGGACCAAATACCGTTGTCGTATAGCTGCTAGGGTATGTGAAGTGCCCATATGACCTTCAAATTCATGATAATGATTAATTATGCGTTACTGGGTGATCTCCTGGTAGGATTATAGGGTGCTGTGTGCATTCTGGCCGAGTGTTATTGCCCAGTCGACCACCCACACATAGCAAGCCATTGAGAAGGATCGGATGTAACTTGTAAATCGGCAAATTCCTATATAACCCTTTACATGGCTTCGAGTCGAGCTTATAAGTTGTACTTAGCTCCGACGGGAAAGTTTTTAGCTGAACACACCACAATATCGACCCTTCTGCTTCGTTCAGTTCGTCGAGCCGTAGAGTATTTTCAAGTTCAATATCCTTACCAACTCTCTTACTGAGGAGGTAAGATTTGAACCTGGTAAACCGAGCTACCGCTCTTCTTAGCCTCAACCACGATGAACAGTATGAGAGCAACACATCTGTTGGTTGTCGCGTTAACTAAAACTGTGGTGGCTTTCTTCAACTCTAGGTTTGTGGGCTGATGATGAAGTTGTTCGATGTCAGTCTTAAACCAATGCTGCTCTCCGAGCTTCGGGAACTCGGGTCCTTGAATCCTAAACCTCAATTGCTGAGAATGTTTTGTACGGATACCAGGTGAGGCACAGTCGGCAGGATTCATGTTGGTCTGGGCATGTCTCCATTGGGAAGTGTTGCTGTTTTCGCTAAGAATATAATGCAACACAATCATTGAGTCTGTCCAAAAGTATATGTTGTCGAACCGGACTCCGAGCTCCTTCACCAGGTAGCACATTAGTCTAACCGCTAATACAGCAGCCTGAAGTTCGAGGCGTCGGATAGTAACTGACTTGAGGGATGCTACTCTTGATTTTTCCATTAAAAGCCACAGTAAACTTGTCGTAGCGACCCACATTTCAGGTAAGTGAACAACTTAGCGCGGACACGGGAGCATATCACCGCTTGGGCCACGAGCTTTGTCGCTGAGAATGCCGTCTTTTTGTCAGTTCTCTCATGTGAAGGCGAACGGAGTACGTTTGTGTTAAGACCTCTCCTGTTTGTTGAATACTGCCTTGAGAGTAACTGCCTCCACCTTTTTCAGGAATGACTTTGACTGAGAAGCGTTTCAACAAACTAGGTGAGAATTTTAGAAACTAGAAACTATGGGCTGCTTTCTGATCGTTAGCCGCATTAAACTCAGTTTGGAATGCACAATTTCAGAAATGCATTCATTTGCAAATAAATTTGTTTTTTTCGAGAGACTCATCCGGAACCCAGCTGAATATCTCGGTTTGGATGTTTCCGAACAACTGAATGTGCTGCACCGGGCCGCCTCATGTTTCAGTCGCTGCGACATTCGAGATATCGCGATACATATACATTTTTGTAATGCACTACTCATAAGGTTGCTGAAAATTCGTCGACATCCTACGACCGGTTTTGTCCTTCTTGAGGCTCATCATATGGGCGCATTCCCGAAGTTTCCTTATGTTCTGTTTGAAACCAAATCGTACGAAATTAGCGCAATATACACATGTGCGAACAAATTTGGTTTTGCTTGATTACTGTGTTGATGTTGTAAACAGCTGCAAAATTCTTTCCACACATTTTTTAAACGGGGTCATTTGCAAGCATTCAGGTAGCATTATTTTCAAGTAAACCACTGAAAATCATTTGTTGGGAGGCTGTTTTTTTTGCTTCGTTCAGTGCAGTTGAAGTTGAATTCAAAGACATCAGATTAGCAGCGAGAACTTTAAAATTTCCTCCTCGCGTTATCAATGTGTAGTTTTGTGGTGTCATCCATTCCATATTCCTTTCGTTTTGTCACTCATTCAGCAAAGCGGTATTAACCACAGAGCTCACTGCCGATTTCTGATGAAGTTCAGTGACTATCGCTCTTTTGATAGTCCTTTGGCGTATTACTTCGAGAATAGCACAGGAACATCTTGCGTAACCTCGATGTAAGTACAGTTGTTCTGTAGTTTCTTACACATTGCATGATACGCGCCCTTCAAACTACGGTCACTCACGGAGCACTCAAATCATCTGGTTCTCAAGCAGCCCAGTAGTGCGTACCATAGCTTATCAAGATGGATCGGTCACTAATTTTAGGGCGCGTTGATCAAAATAGTGAAAACTAAGGTCATTCAGCTGTAACATTTGTTCGCTGCTCAGATGCCATTCCACCTAATGGAAGCACGGGGCTGAGCTATTGTCAGGTTGCCCAAGCCTCATTGGGAGTGGTGGAAATTCTGGAGTTGGGTTTAAACCACGAACCCTCCGGCCAATAAATTTGTACTTTAACCAGTAAGCTATCCTGAGCTCCAACAGTTCCTACCCTGACTCATCCCAAGGATGAAAAGGCGTGTAAATGACACGACACAGATCAATCGTGTTCACTGTTGCCGGGTTTTAGCATGATCGAACTTCTCCGATGCGATATGAGTCGATAATATTAGACCAACCATCTGTGCTGTCCTGGTTTTATTGATCGATCACGCCCTACCCACTAAGCTATCTCGACTTCGCTCAGAGACTGAAATGACTAATTTTTGGTTTTCCCATTTTAAAGGTACCCAAAGGAAGCTGAACTTGACAGCCCCAACTTGGGAGGAGATCATCGCTCGTCATACTCCGGGAACTTCCATACACGATGCGGCAAAACTGTGTTCGGAAGGATCTTGTACTCCCCTATCTTCGTTGTATCATATTCCCACACCAGACACTGTGCCTCCAGCGTTATGGCGCCCAAACAACTGCACGTCTTCACAAGCCGTGGCTTTGCTTATACCATATCGCAATCGTGAGATGAACCTTCGGATATTTCTGAACAATATGTTCAGTTTTTTGTGCAATCAGCAACTGGAATATTCCATCATTATTGTTGAACAGGTGAGCACCACAGCTACCGAGGTGAACGATGAAAGAACGATCTACCAATGTTGGTTAGGTTCTGTGTAGCTCTTATACTGAGTTTCCGCTCGGATCAAAAATCACGAAAAAACTATTTTCGGAGGTGATTTTAGTTTAATTTCCTGAAATTCAATTTATTCATCACGATTCCCAAGATTCCTTCACAAAAGTTTGCACTGAAAACGGATGGACACACGCGTGCTAAAAGTACGTAGAACAGGGTATGAAGGTCAAATCATTGAAGCACTCGTGAGCAGTAAATCCTGCAAGCAAATAAAAAATCCTCATTTTATCTCATTTTTCTTGAACAAATCGGTTTAAAAAGCCCCTGACGGGTGAGTTTTACACAATAAAGGCGCAGGTTTATATATTCTCGCGTGGCAACTTCACACGCAGTGGTTTCAAACCTCAGGTTCGGAAGTGTAACCTTGGTTTCCACGATCCTTTCTCGACATTGAACTAAGCCGTGTTTTGAACATGCCAAGTACTGGAACAAAACTCGACGAGCACCACTACTCACCAGCAGTATTCCAATACGGTTTGCCGATAAGAGCTCTGAAAATTACACAAAGCCTGAGAAAGTAAACACGCCTCATGTAAACCACGTTTAACAACGCATGTATCTCTAATAGGTTAAAGAGTAATAAAACGTGAGCAAACCTTCGAAGACGTCCAGTCATTTCATTGAGGAATGATTTCCCTCAGAGCGGGACTCATATCTGGTCTTCAAATTTAAACTTTGGTCCGCTCAATCAACGTGGGTGGATAGCCAAAAGCAAAACAGGATAGAATCGTTCAGAATTCGCGGCAATAAAAGAACATAGGCCACAAAACGTTATGAAGCTAGGAAATACGATCGAGCAATAAACCCAAGTTCTTTTTTCATAAAGGAAACTACTCACAAGGTTGCTGAAAACTCTCCGACAGCCCACGACCGGTTTCGCCCTTCTTGGGGCTCATCAGGTAGGCGCAGCCCCCCAATTTCCGTCAACCTTGTGATATACTTGAACCCAAATTGCACTGTTTTCGAGAAATACACTCATTTGCAAATCAATTTAGAGTCTCCCGTGAAAACCCAAATCGATTTGCAAATAAGTGTATTTCTCGAAGCCCAAGGTTTGTTTGGTTGAAAGCTCTACAGTTCCTTTCAATTGGAAGGCTCTTGTTCCTTTGCCAGGCCCAACAACGTCACTTCGATAAGGCTTCTTTCATGTGATTTTGGAATTTTATCCTTGTACAGTTTATTGTAGGGCATCAATTGAGCCCAAAAGCATTTCAGTGTAGTCGGATGCCTAAAGTAATCGAATGAGTGGACAGAATGTCGCAAGTGGCAGGCTATTTAAAGTCAAACAGATGTGTGTTCAACATAATTAACTTCATAAAAATGTAAACTTGATATACGCACTTCAAATTCAATGACATAATCCGTCGAAGCAATATTTGCGACACACATGCGTAAACTTTGGCTCGCTAGCAACCAAATCGAACCGGCGTTTTGTATTAAGACCGATAGAAGGTTGCCCAGGAGTTTCAAACGCAAGAACCTAACGTACTGTAGAATCCACCTTGAACATGGCTCAGATTGAGCGTATAGGCTAAACACAGTTGATTGTAAAGCACTTGAAAATGCATTACACTGGCGGTGAAAGGTCCAAACAAACCTGGTGTACGTTTTTACGAATTACACAAGATGATGGAAGAAATTCTCCGTCGAACGAAGAGCGAGCTCCCCTGTGTATGTTTTGATAGTTTTGGAAATAAATATTACCTGGAAGGTCACATATATAGGCAGCCCAACAATCCCGCTTTTCCGACAAGACTTCTCTGGTTTCAAGGACACAATTACGGAGGCGTTTGCTGCCAAACGAATGAAACAAAAAATAATAGTTATTCAAGTTTCTGGTGTTCTTTTCAACACGCAGACGTTTATGCTGATACGTGAGCGCTGCACTGATCAACCCACACTCTCTGTGTTGCTGGAGGTTGCCTTTGAGTTGGGGCTTCTCAGACGCGCCACCACGGCATGGGTTTTCTCAACCGTTAAATAATGAAACGGTGAAACAGATTATTAAGCGGGAAAAAATTGTGGAACGAGGTTGTATCCGGCGTCAAAGTAACGAATTGTGCATCTGAAATCGCTCATTATTTTCTTTTCAAATATGTACCCACTGACCTTGTTGCTCTAAGGCGATTGAAAGTGAACAACTGGCATTTTGACTATCAGCAACCTATTCGAGAAATGTCTATCAGAACTACTTAGCTAAAGTGTACACCATGCACTCTGTCAAACAATAAATTTACTACAAACTGATTGTAAAAATCCTTGAGAAACGTTGCTGATGTCCGGAGGAACATAGAAAGTAGCATTTGGGGCGAGATGGCTCAAGTGTTTAGAGCGCGAATTTACTGACCGGAAGGTCCGTGGTTCGAACCCGACCTCTGCCTCTCGGCTTCCCCTGTCTAGGCTTGGGCAACCTGGCAGTATCCCAGCCCTCGTGCTCCCTTCGGGTGGCGTGGCAGCTAGACACCGGAAGGATGTTACAGCTGAACGATATTTTCAGCTTGCACAGTGTACCTACAATGCGGTGCAATTTTATGCAAAGCAAGCGCGCAGGATAAGCCGCGGTTCACGCGGGCTAAGCCATTGTCGTCAATTAAATCACCAACTTCTATTTTATCTAAAATTTACTGATTGCATCGACTGATCTTATCTTGCAGTGTCTATCGGTAGACTGACGGGGCCTTCAAAAGCGAGCAAAAGAACACGTGTCAAAAACCTATGTACTGTGTCAAAAGATTATAATCCAAAGGTCATTGAGTTCAGGGTCAGATCATCAACTGCTAGAAATGAGGGTCTGAAGTGTATCCCGCCCGCAAACTTGTTGTCTTCAATGCCTTGCTCAAAGTGATCACAGGATACCAGTGTTTGAAACTCTGCGTTTTTGCTGTTGCACTTTCATTCTATACAATAGATGACGTTGAGTTTGTTTAACAGGATCCGGGAGGGGGTGGGCCAGGAACTCCGCGAGCCTTTCACACTGATAGTTTACTCCCGTTCGTATCATTTACAAATCTCGTCGAAAACCACGAACACTCACCACACAGATTCTGAAAAGTGGCACTTTGGCTTGGTCTGATGGAACCCCAACCGCTATCATTGGAAAAAATAGTCTAACCGTTTAATTCAGCAATCATTTATTAGTCAGTATTCTTCAGCTGGACTTTTATCTTCGAGTTACTGATAACCCCTGTTTTGCCTTAACTCTCAGAGAAATCATTCTATTAGGTTTCATTCAAGGACATTCCTAAGCCCACCAAGCCATCACATTTGGTGGGTTCGCCTCTGTTTTTTGGTTTGTGCCCTGTAATTGCAGTAAACTTTGGTCGTTGGCTTGTTCGCTGAGCTGGGCTATTTGGTTGCAAACGTTTCATCACCAATCGAGGTGACAGAGCGTGGCGTAGCGGTGGTTAGGTGGTTGTGCGTTGAGTAGTGTTACGTGTGTGTTGATATACGTGCTGGTAGCCGGGGGTGACCTTCGTCCGCGATTAGTTATTCAGTCGGGCGGTTCCATTGGTTGTTCTTTTTCCCATGTCCCCTCATTCGGGGATCCTCGTTGATTTGTCCGAACACGCTGATAAAGTGTCAGCCCACTACACAACGTTGCAAAAGTTAGCCACCTTTAGCTACTGATATCCGCCGTTGGCTACCGGCGACCATNCTTCGCACTGATGATGTCACCTCGATTGGTGATGAAACGTCTGCAACCAAATTGCCCAGCTCAGCGGACAAGCCAGCGACCATCTACGCTACCTGAGCTAATGACATTCTCCTCTGCAGTAAACGTTATTTCAAACGTATTCCAAAGCGTTCGAATAGACAAACCAGAAGAACCGGTACAACTGTGGCCTCTGAGCCACTGTGCAGACCAATGACCAATTAGGTAAAACTAAAGCCGAAATCTAATCTGGAGAGTTTCATTATAATTATTTTCCACATTTTAGTTGGAGAACACGTCTTTCAACCGCGCCGCTCTTTTCAACATTGGTTTCAGGGAATCCGAGCGTATCAGGAGATTTGACTGTTTCATCCTTCATGATGTGGATAAACTTCCAGAGGACGAGTACCTCCCCTATCGATGTGAAAGTAACCCGGTGCATTTGTCCGGTGCACTGGACATATTCGGATACGGGTAGGTTGACAGGTTGTGCGAATTGGGTTTCTTCTGAACTGCTGCTTTAATCGTAATAAACCTATTAGTTCAGCCTAATCCATGTAAGAGAAGAAAGTTTGTTCACTGATGATACATCAAGTTTCGCACAGAGCACAGAAATGACAAAAGGCCAAGAGAAAACTTATCGATCACTCGCTCGGTTGAAGAAATCAAAACATTGCTCTGGTTTGCGCTGAAGTCGACACGCACATGTTTATCTCAAACGAGGCCTTACCAAAATTCCCCCAGAAACATGAATCTGTCTGTTGGATGTAAATGGAACGATGGTAGTTTCTCATACTGGTAACGCCAGCGACCTTGGGTTTAGTAACTAATCGTGAAGCAAGAATTAAGCGATGTCTAGTGTATCCCTGAAATGCGTTGCACCAGAAATCATAAAAAACTATGCTACCTTGTTGCGTCGAGACTTCGTGCGGTGATTGCAACCGGTATCTGACTCTGTGCTTAGCAAGAACGCTTCACACACAACAGATTCAAGTCTAACATACGTTTCAGCCAGGCACTTCAACCAAGGTGAATGTGCGCTTCCGAGTCGTGTCGCGTATGGAAGTATCCCACTTGGAAACAAGGAACGAGTCGATATACTATGGGTTGTTAAATCCATCCGCACTGGCGTACACGCGATAACTTCACCCACGCACTTCTCTGAGAACAACAAGTCGACGTTCCTTCTTATACTTTTTCAGTGGTCATCAAAGTTGTGCCACTTTGTACAGCATTCCAGTGGTTGGACTTTTGGGCTACAACTTTGACGGGCGAGGTCATTTTTCTGTGCGGTACGGTCACGTGAGATGACTCTAACTGAATTGGCTCACTTCGTTTAGGGACCTAATCAGCTTTTAGTTACACGTAAGGGCTAATTTATCATTGTTGCCAGAATGATCACGAATAACAATTATATCGGTGTAATGGCGGATACTACTGATGAGGCATGCAAGTAGTGTATGGTTCCTCGTAACTCTGCGGTAAGTGGGATTTCTTACGGAGTTTGTGGAACTGCTTTGCAGTGTTCATTTACAATTATGTATTAGTCAATGGGTAGCCACGAAAGTTTGAGAAGATACCTGAGAATGCTCAATTTTTAAAAACTGTTTCCATATGTAACGCCCACTTTCCTGTCCAATAGCTTGCAACAGCTTAGTTGGTGTTTGTTAAAAATCGACCTCACAGACGAGATTTTTCCGCCTTTCATAAAAGTAGGGGTTTTGGGCAACGGCTCTGCGATGTTATTGCAGCGTACGTGCCCGGCAAGAGTGCCTTAGCCAACTACACAGCTGTGGTGGACTGGAATTCATCTGGCGTAGGAACGAATAGACTCAGATCCGACTGAAGTCGAAGTTGAATTACATCCCAGTTTATCATCAGAAGAAAACGGATGGCTCATATTCGAAGGTTCAATAAATCACCTATTTGATGAACTCCAAGAATGGAGAAACCGGTCGTGGGTTTTCGGACAATTTTCAGTCACCCTATGCCAAGTTATCATCAGAAGAAAACGAATGGCTCATATTCGAAGGTCCAATAAATCACCTACCTGATGAACTCCAAGAACGGAGAAACCGGTCGTGGGTTTTCGAAGAATTTTCAGCCACCCCATGCCAAGTTTGTCAAGGATGAATTGGTCATTTTGGCTCAAGAGTGCTTGTGCGTGTCCACTTGATCAACACTTTCTCAAAATTAACCAAGTAGTAGTATATCAGAGGACTGTGGTGTCACCTATGTCTGCCTGCTGGTGTCAAAACGGACTGTAAGCACCAGCAAATGAGTGGTGTATCAATCTTCTGGCTGCTTGATTTCAAGAATAGTCCCATCATATACGACTTCATTTTCTTCATTCAAAGTATGGACCAAAAGATTGATAGAGCCATTCCACAAACGAACAGGTCCGTTCGGCTTCTCCGTTCACGTGAGCAAACAAGCCCTTTGCATGCAGGCATTTGACTGAGCATCAGCAGATTCGGATAAAAGTTGTGAAGCAACGTTCTGATGGCTGTTTTCCAGCCAGTCAGCTGGTCAACTACCTGAATACTCATCCCGATCGACAAAGTGGGCTTTTTGACTTCGCTCTGAACTCCTGTAGCTTACAGTACACCCGCTGAGCACTTCATTCAGGCGTACAGGTCAGATATGTTTGTGTCTTCCCCACAGGAAGAAATCTTTTACACAAGTTTGTCATCACTCACCGAAACATAAAGCATACAGCAAAGAAAGATGGTCCGTCCAGACTGTAACTAAACGGTGATACCGTATACTGCGAGTTGTCAAACGTATCTAATCGTTCAGCTGCTCTGGGTTATATTAAGTAAGGGCTTAGATCAATTTGAGCAGTGGGATGAATTACTCACCTAAATTGTCTGTTCCGCATGTCGTGCCGTAGCAGTTACACGTGTTTTTAGAACAGACTTATGTAAAGGTGACTGGGAACGCCCACACTTTGAATCAGCTGACGGAAAAAGTCAAACTCGCAAGCTGTCCACTCCGAGCACACTGAAAGCACCGGTGTTCTAATGAACCCAGAACCATCTTTTCAACCTCTAAGAATCCTGCCCGCCATGTTTAATCCGAAGGTGTTAGCGTTCAGCTACGCCAATCGAGATTAGACGACCTTCACGTGCGCCATTCGCGTGTCTTGAGGTAGAGGAATTAGCCTGATTGAATGAAACTTTGTCTAACTTCGTTCGTTGTTCTTCTTGCATTTATATTGCAAAAATAGGTTGCTTGTGGTGCCTAACTGGTCAGGGAAAAAGGAACTTTGGTATCCCATTTTGAACCCCAAACTTCCCAATCATGAGCAGCACTGCAAATGTACTTTCAAACAAGACACCAAGAAGATAGAATACTCTAAAAATCGACCAAAATCAATGCATTGTGCCAGTTCGTTAGTGAGTAGGAACACAAGTGGAGTCTAAACACTAGTTTGTGGAAGAATAAATTCACGAGCCAATTGGCTAAACATTACGTAGGAAAACGGGGGCTGCAATTGCTATGCAGCCAGAATTCAATTCTCTCCAGACGCTCAGCACACTGAAAGAGTGGATAAAAGTATATTTGTTTTCAAATTCACATAGGATGCCCTACAAAGAATTCTTTGGTGGCGTCTCAGCGATCAGTCGGGACCAAATGATACGAATCCGTGGTTTGTCGAACAAATACTACGGATGGGGTGGAGAGGACGATGACCTTGCACAGCGTCTAGTCCACATGCGATATCAGATCAAACGACACCCGCTTGAGTTTTCGCGATACACCTCAATTTTTCACGAGCCCGACAAACGAAACGAGAAGAATCCTGCGCGGTGAGTTTGCGTCATAAAACAGAGTTGCAATAGCGAGGCGGAATCACACGTTTCCAGTGCATTCAGACATATCACGGAAAGTCATTGAACAGAAAAGTGAACCGGACACTGGAGAACTATTACTTGAATATTATAAGCCACCGGTGCTTTCTCGACAGGGTGATTCCAATAAATTTCTATCTTAGTCAGCAAAGTTAAGAACAAAATAAAAAGTACATGTGCAACCAGTTTCATCCAGCTCAAATGCACGACGACAGTGATAGCCGAGACAACAAGTAGTTCTACCCCCAACACTCGTCATTTTCACGTGTACTTCACTCCTCTCAACTTGAACTTTGAAACGGGTCTACTCGAACTCAGTTGAGTTAGAAATACTGAATTAACAGAAACATTCCGGGCTAGACGTAGATCAAACCAAAAACAAGTGAGGAAAATCAAGTTCTCGAGAAATACACTCATTTGCAAATCAATTTGGTTTTCACGAGAGACTCAACTGAATCTCTCGTTCATGATATTCTACAGCTGAATGTGCTGCACACAGGTCGCCTCATGTTTCAGTTGGAACGATATTCGAGATATCGCAGTATATTTTCACGAAGGAAACTGCTCACAAGGTTGCTGAAAACTGTTCGACAGTCCACGACCGGTCCCAATTTGGGCTCATCAGGTAGGCGCAGTCCCTGAGTTTCCGTCAACCTTATGTTCTAGTTGAATATCATAAACGAGATATTGAGTCTTTCGTGAAAACCAAGTTGATTCACAAATGAGTGTGGTTCTCGAAACAGTCCAATTTGGGTTCGAGTAGAACATGTGGTTGATGGAAACTCGAGGACTGTGCCCACCTTGTGAGCCCCAAGAAGGGCAAACCCGGTCGTGAGCTGTCGAAGAGTTTTCAGCAATCTTGTGAGTAGTTTCCTTTATGAAAACACCATCATCATTTTTTGAGGTAATTTTGGTGACACCGCATCACAGTTTGGACTTTTTGCCGCAAATGAAACATCACCGTATCCTACTTGTGCCTCGCAGAGATATGAATTTCTGACCGCTAAGAGTAGATGGCGCACACTGCTAATATTCCAGTATTTTTGATGCAGAGAATCTTAGTGTAGACGTTGAACTCATGTGACATGTGCTCATAGATTAGGAGTGGCCTTCAAGTTCAATGCACCTGTTATCCAACCGGAAGTAACCTTCGGTAAATCCACCTTCGCCTTCCTATTCGTCGTTCTGCACATTCCATGTGACATTCCATTGAAGCAATTTGATTGTTTTGTTGGATAATTGGTAGCTACTTTTTTCAACTACCCACTTCTTCCACACACCGCACTCTACTCACTCCCATAACTTGACATGTGCTTGGTTACCTGATCCAAATGAATTATCGATCAAGCGAAAGTCTCGCCAGTGAACGTAAACCACAAGAAACTCAAAACTGGAATGTCATGACGAAAGGTTTGCAAATCGTTTGTCATGCTCAGCAAACAAATCAACAGACATCAGATCAACAACTTACTTAACCACAGCCTTCCAGGTGTGCTCGCAACATCATCCCAGCTGGTTATGATCGCATGAGCGTCACTCAATCCGTACATATTCTATTGTATTTGTACGGCCTCCGCTTCGAATCGCATGTCTAGCAATCTCAGGTTTTGAAAAGCACTGGGGACATCACAAACCGGAGACTCAGCTGGGTTCCAGGTGAGTCTCTGGAAAAACCAAATTAGTTTGCAAATGAGTGTATATTCGCTAATTTCGTGCAATGTGGTTTCAAGTAGAACGAAGGGTTGACGGAAACCCGGGGACTGCGCCTGCCTGATGAGCCCCCAAAAGGGGCCCAACTGGTCATGGGCTGTCGACGGATTTTCAGCAACCGTATGAGTAGTGCATTACAAATATATACATTACTTGAGTCGTTAGGGGACGGGTAGTTAAATAGGGTCGTGCTGCAATTGTACTAATGTAATCGAACGTACAGGAGTCAGCCTGTGACTTTCTGAATTTCACACGCAATATTCACTTGATCTCCCTTATCATGACAGTGTGGGTGGAGGTCGATAAATCGGAATACGTGACTGGTTGGAGCCATCGTGTGCAAAAACAGCCTATCAGTCGTCAACATGAAGCGGCAGAATCACAAAATTACACGTACCAAAGCACTTTAAGTAGTCTTGTTAATTTAGGCAAAAAATTTTATACCGAACGTTTTCGGTAAACAGAAGCTTGGTGGTAGCTGAAGCCATGTGGGCTGCTTTGCAATTATTTGGCTTCTTCCTTTTCCTATTGGATACTTGCCTACACGTTTTCGTACAAACTGATCCATATAAAAAATTGTTTACCAAGGATATTCAGATGAATTGCAGTTCAGAAAATAGGGACTCTGCAACCGGGCATGTTACAAGGCCCTGTTGTGTTTCATACACACAGCTGTTGGTTGTTGATCAGGTGGCTGTTGATCTGTTCGCCGAGTTTGGCAATTAGCCTGCAAACGCTTCGTCACCATACGAAAAGACATCATCAGTGCGCAGTTGGGTGGGTACTTCTTCCTTGTCTGCATGCGGTTATATAACATTCGAAGGCTATGAGTTATCTTCTGACGTGATTGGCCACTTGGAGTGTACGAACATGGTGAGGAAAGTACCATTCAAACGGACACATCAATTGGATAGGAGGAGGCGCCCGATTGAAGCACCAAATCAACCGGCTGACGCAGGGATATTAACCGCAACGGTGGAGGAAATAGGGCGGCACAAGCCACCAATCAAACTAGAGAGCATCGCACCACAAGGCAATGCGAATCAGGGCCAGAGAGAACAAGCTACTAAAAATAGAAGGCGTCGGGATAACCAATCAACACGAAGGAACGCATACCACAACGCAACAAAGATCACAAACGGACCAATAGATTCACCATATTCGGTACACTTCATATAGCAAATCACGTCAGATGACAGGTGGCCTTCGAATGTTGTATAAATGCATGCAGGCAAGGAAGAAGTACCCACCCAACTGCGCACCGATGATGTCTCCTCGTATGGTGACGAAATGTTTGCAAGCCAAGCTCGGCGACCAGATCAACAGCCACCAGATCAAGAGCCACCTGATCAACAATCAATAAACCCACCCGAGCTACCAATATTTCAACACTCTACCAACACACGGCTGCGTAAATGTGGGCGTTGGTTGTAGATCCGGTGACAGCCAATGCGTTCACCCAGATTAAGAGTTTGATTGAGAAGGGATTGGAGACATCATCAATGCGACTTTTGGTGGGTACTTACTCCTTACCTGCTTGCGTGCATGTAGTTTATCGAATAATAGCTGATATCTCCTGATGCGACTGGCTGATTCAAGGACAGTTCTACAGTGATTTCATTGCCCGTTTGCTATCCGTGATAAGTTGTGGTGTGAATACTATGGATTTGATTGGTTGGTTGAAGATCGATCCGTTTACAAGCTTTGATGCGTCGTTTTCAGTGTTTCTAGGATTGGATTTGTCACCATGATAGCGTTTTTTAAATTGCTTGGCCGGTCGCGCTTTTCGTGTCATTTTGCCAAGCGCCACGTATAATCAGTTAATCACATATCGCCTCTAAGTTAACTCAGTTATTTAAATATTTGCCGCAAATATGCTCCTTCCCAAGTGGTGTATTCAATAGGCTCGAGCTTGCGTGTTTTATCGAAAGGTCACTTATCTGGATTATCTACAGACCTACAGATCTACAGATCTACAAACTCACAATTCGAGAATTGTGATTCTGTAGGTCTCTTGGTCTAAACAGTCTTCCCAACCACGATGCCCCGCAAAAAGTGAAACTACCAATCAATTTACTGAATCACCCAATCAATAGAAAGTATTTCAACTATTTTTTATAAAATACGTAAACGCAAGCATGCAAAGTGAGGGTGTTCGGACCCTCACTGAAACCTTTCACACAATTGTTGACGGAAAATCCGAAAGCGAATTGCCAAGTTCGGCGAACAGATTAAGACCATGTAACTCACCCGAGCTTGTCAGATTTCAGCAGATTGCCAAAGTGAGCTATCGTTTGGGCCATGCGCGTTTTTCGCACACCTCTGTTTGGAGTGAACCATCCGGGCTCGTAGTCACTGCAACACCAAAAGCATGGAAGTTGCCGTCTTTCCAAATGTAGTATATGGATGGTGTCTAAAAGTTAACATTACTAAAGGTTTAGGATGCGATTCAAAAATAACACAATGAATTAAAGTTACCGTTTTAGTAATGTTACTGCTCTAACTGCTGCTTCGCTACTCTGTTGTATCTGACTGCTGACCCCGCTCCAGTGCCCAGTGCCGAAGGGAACACAGCAGCTTTATTCCGAAAGAGCAATTGCAAAAGCTTGGGTGCAAAACGGCCTCAAGCCCTGTGTATAGGAGGGACACTGTATGAACTTGGTCCAACACTGACTCACAATGTTTGCCTTTGACACAAGGCTGCGACGCGCTGTCAATTGAGGGAGCGTTGTCTGGCTGGTCAGCGTCCAACGAAGTTGAGGGCCCGTTAGATTCCGGGCATTTAGTAGTTACTCCAAGGATTCTGACCCTCCTGAGATTCAACTGTCCCACAATTCGTTTCATATCGTTGTGTTTAAGGTAGTCAGTGAACGTATCAGTTAAGATGGGACCTGGTGACAGGCCTGTTGTAATTCCATTTTTTTGTAGACAGGTAATGCCGCTGTGCCTTGGGGTGTTTATCTATCTATCTATCTATCTATCTAGGAACGGCACGTACAGTTGAAAGTGCACTTCAGGCTACGTGCTCACGTGGCGTGATTGGATGGGTTGTTCATACGACATACTGGGGTTATCTGACAAATCACCTTGTTTATTTAAGGAAACGGTAATCTTTTAGATCGATCCGCACTCTTACTTGCCAACTACATCGTGGCATCATCTCACCTACCATGCCAGTTTTATACTTCCCTAAATTTCCAATACTTCAAAGTTGTGGCCCAACTCTATACACGCTTGCAGTTTATTCGACGAGTATTTTATTCGCGTTTGTTTGGAACAGCACATCCTTTTCTGACCGTCTTTGTCACCCTCTGGTTTTGATGCATTGGTTCCAATTTGGTAATAATGTCCGCATAGCGGTCGATTTCATAGCCAGGGAACTGCGGAAATCGTCGCTTGAAGGTCACAACAAGTTTCGCCAGCCTTAGCTAGGGAGCAGACATATAAACGAATTAGGAAACTGTGTGCGCACGATATGTGAAAACATCAACAAAGTTAGCACCAATCGATGTGTAGTAGCCAGTTGTGGGATTTACGGAATTCAAACTTATATCACTCTCGTTTGAGGAATTCTTATATTTCGAGCACTTGTTCGGTGTGTCCACATCAAAGAGGACAAGGTTGCTTACTGTTGGTGAGGTCTAGCAAAATGGAGGCTTTGACTTAATATGGACTTACCAGAACCATCGCACTAGGATGAAAGGCGAGCCGACATTCTCCACTGCATAGTAACATGTTCGTAGTTCAGCAAACTCAACATCTGGTCACTTATACTACTGATAACCCTTGTTTGTGAAGTTTTTAACTCAAATATATCGTCCGCCATGCACACTGGAAAGAACAAAAAAGTGGAGGCGGTTGGAGGTAGTTGGCCGCTAGTCGGCAGAAGACACGACAAGTCGGAGAAGATGATAACTTGATCAGTTGGTAGCTCGTGCGAGTCATGGGGCGTTCGGCATAAAAATCACCTGGCAGTACAGCATCAACACTGCCATGCCAAAAAATACTCAGCGATGCGACACGACAAGTCGGAGAAGATGATAACTTGGTCAGTTGGTAGCTCGTGCGAGTCATCGGGCGTTCGGCATCAAAATCACATGGCACTAAAGCATCAACACTGCCATGCCAAAATATACCCAGTGATTCAAACAACAGATGCACGCATATTGTCCTGTTCACGATTAGCACATTTCCAACAAGAAAGAAACGGTTGGTCACGTGATCAAAGACTGGTCGGTTATTATAGGGGAACAGTATAAACTAACTTGTGGGTTACCCGGATCAGATTAACCTAGAGATGCTGTCTTTTGGAATGCAGTGATTGCGAGGAGGAATAAAATCGTCGGGGTGAAATTCCTTCATGTATCCTATTTCGGATTTGATTTCAGAGGAAGTTATCTAGACAGAAGATGGCACAATGTTCCACTTTAGTTCTAGCACTGAATGACACTTCGAAAGCCGAAGCTCTTGCCTGGTCGCAAGCCACCGCAGTCATCTGGTCACTGGTCATCTACACGATTTGGTCCTAGCGCAAACCACTTTCATCATCTATCAGAACCAACTTGTCTCCACACTCGGGATCATAGCGACCAAGCTATTCTAGCCTTAACAAGTACCCTAAAAAAATCTAATGCAGTCAAACCTGCTTGGTGTCAGACCGGCATGTCTAGACAGCTGGCTCGGCTGGCCTAACGTCTCAAAGTTTGTGACCAACTGATACTTCGAATCCGCATGCTTTTGACCGGTTGTGTATGTACTTTTCTGTGATTGCTAGCCACATTTGCCATCCTTTCTCATATCCCCTTGCGATGTGTCATTATAACTAGTCGCTTGGCTGTTCCACTGGTTTTGCCCGGTCATTCCGAGTATAGGCGCATACGTGGGCATTTACAACACAACTTACATGAGTGATTGCTAGCCAAATTTGCCATCCTTTCTCATATCCCCTTGCGATGTGTCACTATAACTAGTCGCTTGGCTGTTCCACTGGTTTTGCCCCGTCATTCCGAGTATAGGCGCATACGTGAGCATTTACAACACAGACTTACATGAAGCATGACACGAGTAGGTCATTCACTCTAAAATCTTCTGACCACCATCAATGTTAGAAACCACGAAACTTCCTTTCCCCAAAGTTGGCATTATGCTGCTGATGCTCCAGAGCGGGATGTCTTATTTGCACGCTGGATACATACTACTTGGTTTTATTCAGTAACTCAAAGTTGAATCCAAAGTTCAGCCGACAGGAGGTGAACAGGACACCGAACACTCATGAGTAGATCAACCAAATTCGCTGTTTTCAAATGTACAAACATTTGCGCGAACATTTCAAAATGGAGACTTTTTGACACGTTACTAAGCTAGTCTAATAAAATTAAACCAATTAGATCAAAACCCGTTAAAATGTAAACAAAACTCACTGGCAACAGATTTATATATCGATTCAGATTTAGTACGTCACGGAACTGAAATTTTACTGCGAGAATAGAGTTGCCTTTGCGTATTTACAGCGAACCTGGTGAGTTAACTGCTTGACCAAACACGACTCGCAATAAAATCGCTTTTTGAACGTGAAGTGCAAGGAAAATATGGAATATGTCTCCACTAGCATCCAGAATCGAAGCGGAACGTCGACATGGACTTGTATCAGTGATTTATTCAAACAATGTTGGTGTCATGCCGCCCAGGCCGTCATCTTGCATCAAATAAGCTTGCTGGAAAACGCTTGTTTCCACAGCACCATTCCGAAGAGTTACAAACCGTACCGCAGGAATGTCCAGCAACGTAGCACGCACGTGAATTCTCATCTTAGGAATACGATAATCCATCATTAGTATTACATTGATACATGCGACCCAAAATTCACAAAGCAACTGTTTTTTCGAACATTTTTAAGTCTTATTGAAAAGATCAAAGATCAGGTAGAGTTCCTGCACAGGGATCACATGATTCTATATTTGTTTTAAAAAAAATCAAATTATAGATGGAAGAGTTTAATTATAGCATCAATCTGTTTCTTTTTTAATTTACGGCTTTTTCATCCTCATCAGCTTCATTCTCCTTATACATGGGCACCATATAATTATGCAACAAAGGGACAGTCCACAGGAATATTTCCTTCCTTCCTTTTTTCCGAATGCGCCGTCAGCGTAGAACATCCTCATCGGTATGTAACTATGGTAGTTCCTGTTGTCTGTTTCTCCCCAAAAGGCACGATCTCCTGAAGAGTGCAGAGACGCGAATGATGGTCGACGGGTATCCAGAAACACGGTACACAATAACTTTTGCTGGCCCAAAACTGAATGGGCTCATTTACTGGATTAGTGTCAAGATACCTGAGGATATGTAAACGGCCGACGAACAACGCAAGGAGACGGGATCTTATCATACAATGTATTTGATTACCAATATATTATTTGTGTTACTTGGTTTGATTTGATAACTATTTGGATAAACAGGGAGCCTTGCTAGTCCACGGTTTCCTTAGTAGTTGGCTTGTGCGGCGAACACCGTAAACCATTCGTGCAAATTTTTTTTGGATATTCTCTGACGATGTATCATATTTATGCATGCATTACGTCCTACGCCACGGCAAGTAGTTTCCCTCACACCTCTCATTTCCGCACGCGATTCCCGCAGGCTGTACGTATGTGGTCGGTGTGGAGGCAGTTTGCATTGTGTTAAACCACCCAGATAAAAAGAGTTTGTTGTGTGGACACAAGAACATTCTTCTACTCTTCACACAACGATGTATGGCACTATCATTGACAGCCTTCCTTAGGGTTGCTTGTCCTTTGCCCAGGCACCCATCATGGGTCCCATGTGTTGCGTTGAAAAAGGTCGGATTCGAAGAGAGTCGGGGACAAAAGTGATGATATATCTTCGTGCCACACCAATGAACCAAATGCCTATCCCGCAAAACCTCAAAATTGCAACCAAGAAGCTGCGCAGTGGGTTTCAAGCGTGTGTCACGCTACCTGACTGGGAAGTCCTGACTGGCGGGTCAATAGATCGTCACAACCAGGACAGTTACTGGGTCGTCGTTCTATAAGTCGGGCACACCAGTCACATCGCTGAAGTGTGAGCACGTTTCGCCTGTTCAGACGTGATAATTCAGATGCGTCCAACGTGCGTTGGTGGAGTGATGGTTACATGCTCGCCTAGCATGTCAGATGTCCGGGGTTGCAATCCCGGCAGGGTCATTGGATATGCACTGCTGATGAGCTCTGCTAAGAGCGAAACTCGAGTCCAGTGTTTCCCGCCTTTGGTGTGGACTCACCGGAATAATTACGACAGAACAGGGGGACGAGCGTTCAAACGAGAGTGGTGTGACTATGAACCATGTCAAATGTTCCGCAGTTGTTCTCATTAGCGCAAGCGATATGAACTCACCGGATGAATAGTGCAGTGGTATTCTAACCACTTTGGTCGAGTACACACAATGAAGCGCGCTCCACGCATCCAGTTCATCGACAAGAACAGCGGCGATGCAAGCATTTGTTAACTGACTGCATACTCCCGCAGGTTGGGTTAGACTAGCGTTTGATGTGAAACTGTGTGAAGATGAAACCACAGTAGGCGGTAGTGGAAAAAACGGACAATACACTCAGCCTACTCATTCCGCTGATCAGTAATTGAGATTCATCACAACAAAAAGGCGGAGAGAAAACCGCAGTCTAAATTTTGATGAACGACCATAAAGCTTTCCAGTGGAAAAAACTACAGAGGGGACGACTAACAATGTCTTCACATTAACGTCAGTCTATAAGTAACTCCGAGGAAGAATAATTTCCTCATGATGAGTGAAACATCCGTCTGAGAAGTCAATACTCCAGAGACTAGTCAATAAGCGAGGTAGTTTCCGTGATTGAAGGACTAACGGAGCGATTTTCTGTCTGAATTCAAGTTAATCTGAGTAGCAACTCTTGGCCAGAATGCTGAGAGTGGGAAGTCCGCGGCTAAAACTTCACGAAGGTTGGTGAGATGCGCACTGCCGATGATTCCCAATAGGTATGAAGCAGATGCACAGCTCTTCTCGTTTTTGCCAGCATGGATTAACCTAACCTTCAGGACGAAATTATGGTTGAAAATTTCTGGCGATCCAAACAATTAGGTTTGGAGTTCGATACCAATGTCCGATACGGAACACTACTCATAGAGTTGATGAATATCCCTCGATGGCCCAAAAACCGATTCTCTCTTCTTGGGGCTCATTGGGTAGGTACAGTCTCCGAGAATTCGTCAAACTTACGTCCAGTCTGAGCCCAAATAGGACGCAGTGTGCATAACATTATAGTTTGGTCTTGACGGAAAACGCTACTGAATCCAGCTGATGCTCTCGTTTATGATGGTTTTATTCATTTTACTATACTAAACAGGTTGCCTGTCGTCTTAGTTGTTAGCCCAATACTTATTCTAACCGTAGCATGAGGTTGCTATAATCCTTCAACCGTCCACTACCATTCTTGAACTTTTTGGGGATCATCATCAGATAGGCACAGTCCCAGAGTTTTTGCCAAGCATATGGTCTGTTTGAACCCTGACTGTAAGTGATTTGCGAAGTGCACTCTCTCATAATTTATTCATTTGAGCAAAAAGAAAGGAAATGAAATATGAACTTCAATAGAGAATTTCGAGCAAACGTTCCCAAGTCGAAATTTCTTGAGTGTTTGATTTCTACGTTCACGGGAATTCCTTCACCGTTCACATGAAGCCACAAACTCAGCCAAAATTTAAATATTCCGTAAATCCACAGTCAAACATGGTCGGGTGGCTCATCTAAATCCATTGGAAGCTATTCAAACTCAGAATTTCGTATAGGGTTCAAGGACCGGAAATGGCACTCAACGATCGGTGGTCCCTGCTAGATAGATAGGAAGAGATAAGTTTGTCTAAACTAGAGATTAAAATTTGCCCGAGTGACTAACTACTCGGAATGATTAACACGCTCGTGGACCGGAAATCAGCAAACAAACTCCATTCTCTGCAGAGTCGTGCGAATGAGGACCTCACCTATTGAAAAAGAAAAAAATCATTCAGTTGTAGCATCCTTTTGGTGCCTAGCTGCCATGCCATCAAAAGGAAGCACGAGGGCTGGTTGCTCAAGCCTAACCATGGGAAATCAAGAAGTTGAAAAGTCCGGTTCGAACCACGGACCTTCCGGTTAGTAAATTCGCGCTCTAACCACTTGATCCATGTCGCCCACTTCACCTACTGACCTGGCCGCTAAAGAGCGAAATATGTGTTCCAAATCGGACATGGATTAGCCTTTGTCGAGGTTCATTTTATCCATGTGCAGAGTTTCGATCATAAGATTAAAGCCGAGACCTCAGGAATGTGCCATATCGTCCGCAACCCCGTGATGATTTACTTTCTTCTGACATCACAAAGGTAAAGATACTTGTTCTGTTTGATTTATCTAACCGACATTGCTTTTTAGTGTACGTGTCCAAAGAGATACAGCAAAGTACACCAGGTCTGTCATGCAACAGCCGATTTCTGTCTGCGGCCCTCAAGAGAGTTGGTCTTCAAGAAAAGGATGTTTCCCTCCTCACCGCAGACTGACTCGTACCATGTCATCCGGTTACCTGATCCCTCCGGTTAAACTCTACGCAGTCGATGGACCAACACATGACAAAGCTGAGTATTTGAACAATGGAGGCTCGAAAACCAATAAGAAGCATGCCCTCAATATATCTTGGAAGATCATTCCACGTCATCATCTCTGCTTGTCGGACCAGAATGCGCAGTTTACTAGCAAGAGAAAACCTGATGAGTATAGACTAGTTTGAACTATTTTTGAAGTTCTACTCTGCGATGAGAAAAGTGTGGAGGCCTTTCGTTGACAAACTGCCCACAAAAAGGGAAGGCGCATGAATGAAGAGAACGCATGTGACCTTAAGGCCCTAGTCAGCATTGTTTCTTCCTATTAGTTCCACCGCTAAATTTGACGACTCATCTGCACCGGCAAACTGACATGAACGATATTCAGGAAAGAATAATAAGGTCTTTTCATAGACGAAACTACTTACAAGGTTGCTGAAAACTCTTCGACAGCCCACGACCAGTTTCGCCCTTTTCGGGGCTCATCACGTAGACGCTCATTAGGTAGACGGAAACTCGGGGAGGGTGAAAAATCGGTCGTGGGCTGTCGAAGAGTTTTCAGCAACCTTGTGAGTAGTTTCCTTTATGAAATATACTGCGATATGGAATATAAATCAAATATCGTTCCAACTGAACCATGAGGCGGCCTGTGTGCAGCACATTCAGTTGTAGAATATCATAAAAGAGAAATTCAGTTGAGTCTCTCGTGGAAACCAAATTGATTTGCAAATTAGTGTATTTTTTGAATAGGGTCTTTTATTTTCAGTAGCTCAGAACAAGCCACAAACTGTAGTTCTCAGCCCTGGCAGTTAAATCGTGATCGATCTAACAGAGTGACTGAGATGGGGTACGATTTAGCAAAACTACACTGGAAATAATCGCTGTGAATGTGATGATTTTAAGAAAGAAATTGATGGCTTAACGGGTCACCATCAAGTATCAAACTGGTGATTTCCTGTCTCCAAGGATGATCGTACCATTACTGCGAAATCGGTTCTTCCTTTTGCAATAGACTGACATCAAGTCGACAAAACGTGTCTTTCAAAGATCATACGAGACCCTAATTTTCTGATGAACAAAGGTAGAATAGCTTTGGTGTAGAACTAACAAGTCGAACATCCTTACACGCCTGCTATGGATGACCCGAACACTGATCTGTTCGTGAAAGATCGTAAAAAGGTTGTAGAACAGTTTGCAGCACATTCGCAAGCACTTGAATAGAAACCAGGAAAGCATTAGAACATTGGTTACTGTGGGCGATCAAAGTACAACCACCAACTACAAGAGAAGTTCTGCTTACTTGCCATCGTCACTTTTACTGAATATCCAAAGAGTATCCAAAACACTGACAGAATGGCATGTTGAACAATAAAACGGAACAAGCATTTTTACGATCAGTCAGACAGAATGTTGTAAGTTTTGTTCAGATCAATGGAATAGACAGCACCTTACAAAGAAACGAACCAACAACGTCTTTGAGGGCCATAGTACACTCACAAGAAGGTAGGCAGGAGTCCTTTAAGAGGACTGGCACCATATACATATATTTGTAATGCACTACTCATAAGGTTGCTGAAAATCCGTCGACAGCACACGACCGGTTTCGCCTTTTTTGAGGCTCGCCAAGTAGGTGCAGTCCCCGGGTTTCCGTCCACCTTATGTTCCACCGGCACCGTTGTTTTTGAAGTGTGGCTCAGAAAAATGAAAAAGAACGAAGCAGAACAGATGTGGGGGAGTGAAACGGTG